TAAATCTCTCCATTACTTCATGGGGCCTTTGAGATTAATCTGACAAGTATGTGTTGAGTTTTTTGGGAATAAAGAGGCAAAGAGGCAGGAAAATCACAAAGGAAACTCACTCAAGTTGTAACAGATGCCTAAAGAGATGTGAGAGAAACTAAAAGTGTTTCATTTTTCATGTAGTACTTTTTTAGGATCCATTTGCTATTTTCTAAACATTACCAAATGCTATTAGTCCTTTATTTATTTTCAATTCAGGCTAATGTAAAGGGGCTTTAATTTTTCTTGAAAATCATGTAAAAATTCTGAACGTTGTAAAAGTAAATAAAAATTTAATATTGATCCCTAAAATGTAGCTCATTTAACTCGCATGGCATTGTTTATTACATGACTCAGCCAAAATGAGAAGATTCACAGGGTGTGTGCATTTTGGGGGGCCCCTGGAACTACTCAAGTACCAGAGCAGGTGATAAAAAGGTAAAGTATAGGAGAAAGTCAACTTATCTACCCATAAACATTTTCTTTGTTCTTTCCCAGCTCATTCCAAGAATGTTTGCTTAATAAAACACCTCCCACTTTCATGCTTAGTACCATTTTCAGCTCTAAGGTGATTCTGATAGTGATGAAAAAGACAGCCTATTGTCTCAGCTGTAGTTATTGGTATAGTATTAAATTACTTACTGGGAAAATGGATATGTTAGTCAAAGGGCAGTAATTTGTATTCACTGTTGTTTTCCAAGTATCCTGCCCTGCTAGTCAAGCCAAGCATAGGAACCTCTGAAATTAGCCCCATGTTTCAGAACTTCCCCAAGTCATACCCCTCCTTTGCTTTCCAGGAGATCCAATCTTTTGTGCTGCGCATCTGTCCAGCTCCCTTATCCCAAGAACTAAACCTGCCGTTTTCAACCTGGCTGCTTAGCACTGGGTTGCCTAGTGCTTCACTGGTCAATCTTCCAGGTTCTTTCTCCCATTACAGACATGTGTTTACTAAACTGATCTCCAAGCTCACAGCTGCCTGCCTGGCTGGCTGCTTGCCTGGATTTCTCAGCATTGCTCAGCCCAGTATCTGTCACTGTGCTCTTTCTTGAAGCTCTATTATTAGCTGAATTATGAGTGAGGCCACATCTTACTATCTGTTCATCCAGGTATAACTTCCTCTGTTTATTTTGTCCTAGAAGGCAGGTCAGGCCTAGTTATAGATCCTTTCCCCTCTCCACTGCCCCAATGTAGTTTTGGACAGAATGTAACTCAGAGTTGGCTCAATAAAAAAGATAGGAATGTTTATGGTGATAGCTCATAGGAAGAAATTTGGACAAGCAGTTAAGTTACAAATAAGATAAATGTGTGTTCCCCCCCGAAAGAAGGTAAACCATAGCAGTAGGATTTTCACAACTTAGTGCAATTTGGGTGCCCGAGAAGACACGTAGATAATTTACGTAAAAAAAGTGCTGTGGAAAGGTTATGGATATCCCGAACTCTCTGATGTTCCATATGCAAATGCTGATCTTTAGAAGATTGACCAGTCAAGTCAGGGCCTCAGTCTTAGAGAAACTGGGTCCAAAAAATGTTATTGAGACAGGAAGATAAGAACAAGATAATGCTCCAGTTTCCAAACTAGATTGTGAAATGGAGATCAGGTCATAAACTTCAGATATTAAGATATTAGAACTGGAACTTGAGAATTGGAGAGGCAGTGAGTTGAATTGATAGTGATTCATCTGAATATCAACTAGAGCAGCTTAAATTGTCTCAAGCCACGTCATTATTGAGCCCTAGTTCACGGAAAGGGGAGTCATATATCTGAGGTTTTTGGCTGTTAATTTAGCTCATGATTTCTCTACTAAGAATATTCAGTATAAACTATGACCAGTACATTTTATGACTAGTAAAATGTTGCAGGAATAATTTTATGAGCTTTCCCTTTTTCTGCATCGTTTATAAATAATTATTGCATGTGTTTTTTACTCTCATATAAACCTGAAATGAAAAGGCCATCTAAGCACTGTCTCTAAAGTTGTGTGGGAGGCCTATGTGGGAGAAACCAAAATTGTTTTCTCCGCCTTCCATTTTATCATTGGCTTAAGATATGGTTAAAATAAACATAGTCTATTAAGATATGATATTCCATAATGTATGCATCCGTTTATGTGTGTGTCTCTGTGGTTCTGCACAGTATGGGTTACATCTACAATTACGGATAAAAAGAAGTAAAAGCGGTTCTGCCAACTTATAATAGTGCCTTATTATCCACAAAGAAGGATTTGAGACTAAGGAATCAGCTTCATGTCTCTTTTTAATATATAGTTTGGTCTCAGTAGTGTAAGTTTTCTAACAAAGTACATACAGAAGCAATTACTGTAATTTATTGTCATTTAGGAATAGCTCTGAATAATTTAATCTCAATATTTATTGCAATTCTGTTGTTTCAACTTTGTGATAAAGGTGAAAGGTGTGCAAAAATGAAAACACACATTTTCTGCCCTAGAACAACCTCCAATCTAGCAAGGGACATGACATAAAAAATTAACTCTGATCACAATGTGGAAAGTGCCAGCAAATTATATACCAAAGAAAAAATACATAGGAAGCTGTATAGGCATCAAGCAAATGCGCATGCACACACACACACACACACACACACACACACACCCCTCAGAGGATGTCCACAACAAAAAGACAAACCGTCCAATTAAAAAATGGTCAAAGAACTTGAATAGACATTTCTCCAAAGAATATACAAATGACCAATATGCATATAAAAAGATGCTCAACATTATTAGTCATTAGCACATGACTAATCAGATGTAAATCAAATCATTTCACATCCACTAGGACGGCTATAATGAAAAAATGGTTAGAAAATGACAAGTGTTGGCAAGTATATGGAGAGACTGAAACCCTTATACCTTACTGGTGGGAATGTAAAATGGTACAGCTGTTGTGAAAATCAATTTAGCAGTTCCTCGAAACATTAAAGTTACTGTATGACCTGGCAATTTTACTCACAGGTATATAGCCAAGAGAACTGAAATATATGTTTATACAAAAACTTGTACGCTTGAATGTTCATAGCAACATTCTTAACATCCAAAACCTGGAAAGAGGTCAAATGTACATCAGCTGATAAACAGATTTTTAAAATGTAGTATATTCATTATAATGGAATATTATTCAGCTGTAAAAAGGAGTGAAGTACTGATACATGTTATAACATGGAAAAACCTGGAAAACACTAAGCTAAGTGAAAGAAGTCAGACACAAAGGAAACACATTATATGATTCCATTTACATGAAGTGTCCAGAATAGGCAACTCCATAGACACAGAAAATAGATTAAGGATAGTCAGAGGTTAGAGGAGAGAAAATACAGGCAGTAACTGTTTAATGGGTATAAGATTTCTTTACAAGGTAATGAAAATATTATGGGATTAATTAGTAGTAATGATTGCACAGCATCATGAATATGCTAAAAATTACTGAATTGTACACTTTGAAATTGTTAATGTAGTCAATTTTATGTGACATGAATTTTATCTCACTTAAAAGTACTGTTTCACAGGCTGGGCACTGTGGCTTATGTCTGTAATCCCAATTCTTTGGGAGGCAGAGGCAGGCAGATCACCTGAGATCAGGAGTTCGATACCAACCTGGCAAACATGGTGAAACCCTGTCTCTACTAAAATTATGAAAATTAGCCAGGCATGGTGGTGGGCCCCTGTAATCCCAGCTACTTAGGAGGCTGAGGCAAGAGAATCGGTTGAACCCAGGAGGCAGAGGTTGCAGTGAGCCAAGACCATGTCATTGCACTCCAGCCTGGGCAACAAGAGCGAAACTCTATCTAAATATATAGTTTCACACACATACACAAACCCGCAGAATTTACCATATAAAGAAAGGAAATAATACATTCCAAGTAAAAGTATAATTCACAAAATATAGGCATTATGTATTCAATGGGCATGTATGAGAGAGTTTTCTAGCAGGATGTTTCAAAAACTAATTTGTGAATTAGTTTTCTGGAACTGGGAAATATTTTGTGGTAGTCCACATATCACCGACTCTTAGCGAAGGTCAACAAGGATTATATGCAAATGGTAGCAAACAGTTTTCCATGCTCTGTTCCATAAAAGAAAACGGAAAAATCTACGTATTTCCTACATTTTAATTTTGAGGATTTTTTTCATTATTATTCAAACTTGATTAAATATTCAGATGACTCATCCATATTTCTTAGCTGTTATTTCCTTCTAACTTAAAAATGCATTGTAATTCTGAGATTTCTCTATCAAAAATTATATTTCAATATGTATAATGAGCAATATTTTAGTAGGCTGAATGAATATATCTATATCATATTAATGTATTTAACTTTAATTGCAATAATACTTATGATAATTCTTTTATGACATTATTTTATTAACTTAAAATTTCTTGTCACCAACTGATAAGATGAAAGGTTTAAAAATAATAGTACTTTTGAAGAAAATAATTTATAATTCTTTTGGTAATATGTCTAAGTTTTGTTTCTTCATTAAATGGGGCAATTTTTATACATAGCAAAACTAAAATGTTATTCACAATGCATATATAAGGTAAAATACATGACATAACTAAGTTGAAGCTTACTTACTAAAGCTTTAATTACTAAAGTAAGCTTTAGTTTAGTTGTGTTATGTGTGTAGAGAAAATTCTCCTTAAAAATATCTACAAGATACTAAAATCTATAGCTTCCCTCTAAATGGACTCACCATTGAGGCTTAGCTACACATTTTATTTTTCTTATCCAGCAGTATTGTTTTTATTTAACGCAGTGATCTTTTTGTTTTTTTGTAATTTCTTTTCCAATCAAATAGCCTTTTAAAAATGACAATAGACATTTTATATGTTGGTTTTTAAATTTAGTTTCTGCTGATGCTTGTTTCCATTTTAAGTGATCTCTGTTTCTGGACTGGGCTATACAATCACAATGTGTGCATATAAACAATTTTTATGTTTTCTGTTCTTTATAGATTCTACGAAGAAATTAAAGGATGTTCTTGAAGAATTCCATGGTAATGGTGTGCTTGCAAAGTATAATCCTGAAGGGGTAAAACTTCTTTTTCTTTATATCAGTTTCGTATATATGCTTGGAAGAGGATATTTCTAAATGAAAAATTCTTGGAGAAATGTATGTGTGTGTGTACACATATACATTATATACATATGATACAGATGTGTCTGTGTGTGTGTGTGTATGCACACCATAAACCATTTACCATGTACCATAACATAAACGAAATGAAGTTCATAATGCAATACTATTCTAGAAGATATATTAAATGTTTTGTACAACATTTTTCATTCAAATAACTCATCTATATTGTATGCTTGAAAGAATATGAATCATTTAAGTTCAGTGTTTGTTATTTTCCTAGAAGTCAGGAAACAGCATTGGATAAAAGAGAGAAGGAATATGCTAGGCTCTCAGTCTATGACCCACAGATTTCAATCCAAAATGGATATTGGTGTAGGGGTAGGGAGTTACCCCTTTCAGGCAATTATTTCCTTGACCAAGGAAGGATTTTGTGTTGCTTATACCAGGTCTGTAACCCTAAGGAGCCAACTTGTACAAAAAGGGAGGGATTTTTTTTAATCTTCTATTTTACCTTTTACCAGTAAGCTTAAGATTTCTTGAAATTATTTTCTTATGAAAACTTTACATGTCTTGTCAATTGTTTTTGAACACCATGCTTGAATGAATGCCTTTTCCTTCCTAATTATTTGTTAAGTAACCTATTTAATATTAGTTGAGAGATGTTACATTTTAAATGTTTGATCACCATTACTGTTAGTTCATTTGTAGGTTCAGAAGGCAACATTAGGTTGCTTCAAGATTCTCTTTGCAAAAGATTCTTTTGTTGGGATGTATTAACTAGATAGACTTGTTTGCTGACTAAAATGTGACTTATTTTTTGCGATTATTGTTTCGTTTTTGTATGTTTGCAAGAACAGACTTCTTAGTTATCTTTCAATATTGTACTTTCCTGGGATTTACAGAACTTAATTTTAGTTATCATAACCCTCAAGCTATTCAAATTGTTTTGAAATTTCCTATCAGTATTTCTCATAGTTAGTTATTTTTCATGTCATATATTCTTATTCTCTCTATATTCTGGTACATTACTGTGACTTTTAAAACTCTTTAGGCTGGAATTTATTTTCTTAAAAAATAAAATTAATATTTGGTACCTATAAATGATGGAGAAAATAAAGGCTATTTAAAGCCATTACCATTTTTCTGTATTGGAAAAAAAATAGATGTTTGACCTACATTTCCCTCATATTGTATTTTTCTAGATGGCATAAAGAAGGGGGAAAATAAAGTTAGCAGCTAAACTTACAAAACTGAGAATTTCAAAGCCTAAGAAAGCAGAGTGGGAAAAGTAAGGATGAATTATAGCACTGAATTGCTATAAGAAACAAAAATTGTCATTAATATTTATATTCACAACAATACTTGAAAACTTATTTGCTTATCTAATCTATATACAGGGATAAAACCTGTTTTCTCCCTAATGATAGCTGCTGGCTACAAACTCAGTTCAGTGATCTTGTTTGCAAAGCAGCCTTTTTGCCTCATTTTTTTTTTTTTTTTTAATTTATAGGGCTCTCAAGACTTAGTCTTACTGTTATTATATATTTCATGAGAATTATCATTCACCATACGCTGCATTTATTTATTAAGGTAGTTATTAGACACATTATTAGACACTCATATCACCCTTTTCAACCATGTTATACCTTTCATAAATGTACAGATGTATTGTTGAAACATGTTATTAAAATAATGAACAGCTGAAAAACAAAAAGATCTCATTACAACTGAAGAACAGTTCCAAATTAAGAGCAAAACCACTCTCTGATCTTAATTAATTTTGATAACATTTTTCCTTCAGAAGAAAATTTTAAGGTTTCTATAACCATTTTAAAAACTAGTATGTATCTTCTAAAAGTCAATTGAAAATAATTAGGACTATCTAATGATGAGAAATAAATCTTTATGACCTTAAAGTTCTGTTCAATACATGACCTCATCCAATTTATAAAAAATTACTCTTATAATATGACAGAATTCCTAATGTCAGTTCACATGTGAAGTTATCACTCTCCATTGGCTTGTCAAGTTAACCCCAAAGTTGTTTGCACTGATGACTAGTTAATGATGCTCAATTATACAAGAAAAAATGGACAATTGAGTAATCCAGCCTGAATTTGGAATGATAATTAATTCATTGTTTTCCAAAAGGAACATAGCTTATATCATTTACATAAAATGCATTTGCAAAAATTAAATTGCTTATCCTCCTACAACATAAAGCTGTTTAAATAGTAGATGTACTATTTTGCTTATAATTCCCTTGAATTACTGAATTTGTAAAGTGCTGGGGATAAAAATTTAACCCAAAAAAGATGTGACCTGTTGAAGTCTATTTTAATAGAAAAAAAATATTAAGTATAATTTGTGAATGAATCATTTATTTTTAATTCCTATTAAAGATCATTTGATAATCATTACTTGAAGAAATGAGTAAGAGAAATCTAAACAATGGCCTTAAAGATTCTGTAGGAATAAAAACTTTTCAAAGGCTTGAGATTCCCAAATTAATGAAATTACAAAGTTTTTAAATAAAGAAACTATTTTAAGAAAAGTGAAATAATTTGTCCAAGACTCACCAGCTAGCTCACAACAGTAACCACAACAAAAACCTAATTGACTAGAATCCCAGTTTAAGGCTAATGCCCTGTGCTCTTCACTTCATTGACCAAGCCATAGGGGAGAGGACTGTCCTCTTAGATACGAAGGAAAAAGGTTAGGGGAAGGCATGCGAAGATATTTCTTTTGTAGTGAGTGTGGCACTTCCCAGTACACATACATGTTAATGACTCATGCCTGACAAGGGGAGAGAGTCTTATTAGTCTCCACCTACTCTTGTGTAAATAATATAATGTTAAGAACATTATTACAAGCTAGTTTATAGCAGATATCCAGTCTTAGTGAGATTATTAACAGTAAAACATGGTCAGGCCGTATAAAAAGTCTCCTGAGTGCAGTAGAATTTGGTAGTACGAGGGGAAGACAGTGTAGCGTTCCATGTGTTTTTTTTTTCTTTTGGTCTTGGACTTCAAGTTCAATTTCAATTTTTTTCACTCACAGCTGAGACATGGGAAGAAAGTGGCAGATGTATATAGAAATATATTTTAATCCTTAAGGGTACGGAGAGATGCTAGGTGTGATGCTGATAGAAGGAAACCTTAGGAATGGGAAATACATATTCAAAATCTAACATACCTTTATATACGTGGTTATATTTCTATTAATCCTCTAAAATATTTTAATCATACTATATGTGTTACATATTATATTTATCTGTTAGAACAGTTTACTTATTATATACAAAGATTGATCTAGTCATTGATTCTCACATTTTAGTGTACCTCAGAATCAACTGTGGGGCTTGTTAACACATGGATTGCTGCCTGCCTCCCCCCTACCCCACGCAGTTTTAGATTCAGTGTTTCTGGGGTGGGGCTCAAGAATTTGCATTTCTATCAGTTTCCCAGCTTATGCTGATGCTACTGTTTTGGAACCATGTTTTGAGACCTATGGATCTAGGGTATGTTTTAAAATCAACCTGTAAACTTGAACTTTTAGCTAAATAATCAGAGATATGAGATAATGAGTATAAATTATCTTACATTAACACATGTATTCTTTCTTTCCTTGCATGCACAGAAACAAGACATTCTTAACCAAGTAAGACATTTTCTTTTCTATTAAAGTCTGTCTTTTCTTTCTTTATTCTGATATGATCTATGAATTTCTCATCCATATCACTGAACTATACTTCTGTACCAATACGATTTCTATAGTATATGAGATTGCCTATAATACTCATAGGTTATAATTGAGTTGAATGTGACACATTTTTTTTTAATCAGTCAAAGGATTTGATGCCTTAATAGGAGCTGGTACCTTAATAGACAAAAAGGGTCTCAAGTGTGGTCTTCAGTTTTGTAGACTCTGGCATTATTTTTTCTAATTTCGCCAAGATATATCAGGCTGTGCTATTATACTTTATTTAGTAAAAGTCTTAATTTATTAATTTACCATGAGAAATTTTAAAATTGAATTTAAAATGCAGTGAGAAGGCTTGGTTTTGTTTTGTTTTGTTTTGTCTACAGTGCTGTAATAGAATCTGTGGGGGAAACATAACCAAAGAGTTGTTGATTTTTGCCCTCCTGGGAAGATTATTCAATCTGTTACTTCAACCACTCTCCCTGAAAATCTGTTTTGTAAATTAAGTTTTAGATCAGTAGTTCAGTTGGGTGCACAGAATTCCAACACATTTTCAGGTGCTCTAAATGGATATTTTTAATCACACTAGAGTAGCTATATCAATTGTCTTCGCCACTGTAGAAATATTTCCTACCAAAATGCATGAGTTGTCTAAAACTGTAATGTTGTCTCCTTTGGACAACCTTGGATATGTACTAGCTGCTTCTTATTCTTAAATTGTTTGATGGTTTTAATGACAAGATCCACAGTAATTTCCTGTCCAACATGTAAGGTACAATTATAACATCATAATGATACTGGTGGACTTAGATACAGGTCCTACATCTTACAATATCCTATAAAGAGGCACTGGTAACATGGCAACTCATCGACTGTGGCGACATTTACTAGCCTCCGTTTCAGAGGATGACCTTTTCCTGATTTCACCTGTGACTTTTCTGGAAACTTGTTTCCCCAAATATGGACTAAGTAGGCTTGATGACACTTGAGGCAATCCCTTGGAGTAAATGATTGTTTTCAAGAACGTCATTCAAGAATTGTCATTCAAGTATGTACGTTTTTAGGACTTGGCTATTAAATGGCTTTTGTTGAGCACCCAACAAACACACCTTTCTGCACAGCCTGCATCCTTTCTAGAGGCTGTCTGAAAACTCAGGTCAAAATAAGCTCTAGCTTTTTGGGGAGTCAGCAGAATGAGTTTCTTCCTTCCTTTTCCTTGCCCAGTCTTTGTTTCATGTGCAATGACTTAGCAGGCAAGCTATTGCAGTTACAGAATAGAAAGAACTGACAAAACTGAGGGTATTCGAGGGGAGAAGAATGAAAGCCTGCACATGTCACTGCTCTATGTGTGCTCTTTGTCTATCAGTGTTCTCTGAGTGTAGGATTTTCTCCGTACATGTTTCCTGTCAGTAGATGTTCCTTAGCCTGAGGCTGAGTTATGCTTTCATAACTCCACAGGGGCTTTCTTTATTTTTGCACTTGGTACTCTGTAATGTAGTTTCTCTTAATGTGTATACCCTTTACATTCAGACAATATGCTTTTACCCCTTAATAAGGAACCTGGGGATTCAAAACCTACCTTTTGTAGTGCTGCTGCCTAAAGTAATATTTTAAATGTCTTTAACAAGGATAATGACAATGATATAATTATTAACAATGATATAAAAACCTTTTTACTGTAAGCTATAATTATTCTTCTAGAACCAAATTCAACCCTTTCCCTTATGGAAAGCATAAGGAAAGTGTAACAGAGAAAATATGGTCTGAGGAGTCTGACTGACCTGAATTCATCTTAACGGGCCTTGGACAAGTTTTCTATCTGTCGTTTGTTCACCTATAAAATGAAGAGAGCATCAGCCTTATTGGACTGTTAAAAGGGTTAGATTCTAAAGTGTATGTATAATAAATAGCTCTGTGTCTTGCACATAACAGGTGTTCCACTAATGTTTAGAGACAGTGGCTGTGGTCATACTTTAATGATCAATGTGATTTCATAGAAAAGTTCTAGAGCACATGCCAAAGATGAGAGTGAGAATATTGGAGATATACCATCAACAAATTCTGTTTCCTTCATTTTCTCAGGACCTCATTTTCTCATTTTAAATTGAGGAACTCTAACTCTGCTGTCTTCTGCACTCAAAAATAATTTCCTTCCACCATGTGGTAGGAGTGGGGATCATGCCATGTAATTTGCTCCCCCTCCCAAACCTGGCCACAATCCACAGTGCTGTCCTGGTAGCAGAGCTATTATCTCTTGTATTGCTCCACTTCCTACAACTACATGGTGCTAGGACACTTAGTTAGCAAGGAACAGAAGAAGCATGTTAACCAATATTTCTGCCTCTCTTCCCTATTACCATCAATACAGTTTCAGTGATGTTCCTCTTCTTATCAAATCTATCTACAATTATAAAATACAATTATATCAATTGTGACCAATTGCTTTCTTTACAAAGAAGTTTGAAATCAAGCATAAATACATTTGGGAAATAAACAAATAACTCTCCTTAGTTTAATAATAAATGCCAACTTTGAAAAGGGGTATTTAAATTCACATTGTAGAATGTTTGTTCTTTCACTTCTTTAATAACATTTGTTAAACAATTGGTATAGAATTTAAAAATTAATGTTGGCGTTTCTAGGTGATCTTTTTGTACTTTTCCAAATATAAGTTAAAAAGTTAAAACCAACATTACTCTGTCACATCTAAATTTTATTTTTAGGGTTTATCTGTTGTTTTTACTTGTGCTTTTTCATCATTAGAAATAGCTTTTTTGGCCAGCTATGGTGGCTTACACCTGTAATCCCAGCACTTTGGGAGGCCAACATGGGCTGATCACTTGGGGGTCAGGAGTTTGAGACCACCCTGCCAGCCTGGCCAACATGGTGAAACACTGTCTCAACTAAAAATGCAAATATTAGCTGGGTGAGGGGGCAGGCGCCTGTAGTCTTAGACACTTTGGGAATCTGAGGCAGAAGAATCACTTGAACCCAGAAGGTGGAGGTTGCAGTGAGCCGAGATCGTGCCATTGCACTCCAACCTGGGCAACAGAGTGAAACTCCATCTTAAAAAAAAAAAAAAAAAGAAAGAAATAGCTTTTTCAAGCAAAAGAGCATTGCAGGGTACTAAAGGAATATAAATCTAGACATTTTGGTAAAAATGCTTAGAATGTCTATAAAGTTTAATTTTTAAAGGTGAAAGAAATCATAAATCATATTTTTAGGTGAACAAGTTAAATTTTCCATTTAGAAAAATACCTCCAGTAGCAATGTGGACCATGGACTTGGGTAGAAGAGAAGACTAGATATGAGTTACAGAGGCCGTCCAATCAAGTAAGAACATTAGATGACAATGGGTATCAGAATGGAGATGGGGGGTAGGCAGATTTGAATACATTTCAGATATATGACCCAAAGTAATAGGTTATACTTTGAACACAAAAGGGTACAAAAACAGTTACAGTCAACACAGGGTTTTCAAGAGTGGGAAATTGAATAATCATACCATTACTTTTAATTGTTATACCTTATTTGTGTATATCTTTTTTTTATCTGAAATGGCAGACCAATTTGACACAGCAGTAAATGCATCTAATACTGATAAACCAGTGGGAAATTACCTTGTACCATGTGTTATTATTGCAAAATCTGTTTAGAAAATTATACTTTAAGTATAACGTAATGCACATTGAAGTTAGAAATATTTATGTCTTCAGTGTCAATTAGAAGCTTTTAGTGTTGGGCAATTTAAGGAAATTTTCTGAGCCTCAGTTTCTTTGTCCATAGGTATTGTGATGATTAAATGATAACACACTATAACATACTTAGTGCAGTTCCTAAAACACAGTAACATGTGGATAGTGTTACATAATGAGGACCTATAATGTAAAAGACTGTGTGATGCAAAATCGTGTTGGATCATATAGCCCTTCAGGAATGAAAAGTTTTTAATTGTCTTTCTACTGAGTCTTCATAATTGTAGTCTTAGGTAAAGCTAGAGTTAGTGGAATATGTGCCTCTGAAGTGCTAAAATAGTTTTCATTTGCCAAAACTAATTTAAAAATTAAAATTCAAGGTTTTCACACTTTGCACTCTTTCTCTTCAAAGGAACTATCTATATGACAGATTTAGGGGACTATCAAGGAACTCTCTGAAATTTGAAATAATGAATAGTCAATTGCAGTGCAAGATAAGCATAAGAAATGCAATATTTAAAATATAAATTTTTTAAAATGAATTTTAATATAAAAAATTATATTTTGAAATCTCAGTAAGATAGCCATGCTGCATATTTAATCAATATACTTTCACTCAGTGACCTTCATATCAGTTTTTAAAATTTAATATAATTAGTTAATGATATAAATTAGAATGCAAAATAGAAATGCAAACTGTAAAAAAAAACTCTGATTAATTTAAATTATTATCTATTTAATTTCATCAGAGTTCTTTGCTCAGTAAGTGCATTGTATTTTACACATATAGGTACTCAGTTAACATTTGTTGATAGATAAAGTGATTTCTTTGTAGTTTCAAACAGTTACTTTAACTATAATAGTTGAATGATTCATTTTTGTGTTTTAGGGATCATTTATAATTTCTGGTGAATACAAGTTAGAAAAACATAAAAACTGCCCATAGGTTATCTTTTGTCTGATGCTAGTAAGTGTTATTATGGTCACATGGTTCTGTTAAAATATGAGTCAGATCATGGAATTTCCTACTAAAAACTTACTCCACATTAAAGCTATAACTCTCTTTTGATGATCTAATATCCTGTATGCTCTGCCCGGTCCACACATCACCACAGCTTGAGTCTTTGACCTTGTATTCTATTACTCTAGTCCTCCCTCACTCCTGCTCCAGTTTCCTGCTCCTCCTCACTGGCTCCAGTGGAAATTTCTCTGGAACAGGAGCATCCTTATAACTCAGGGCCATTGTACTAGCTGTCTTCCCTG